GGAGTTATAGGATAAAAAGAAGACTGACAAACTATCCATCCATCTATCCATCCATTTTCTGAAACCACATGCCCTAGTCAGGGTCACAGGGGGTCTGGATCCTACAGGCACAAGGCAGGAAACAAGCCAGGATGGGGCACCAACCCATCACAGGGCACAAGGCAGGGAACAACCCAGGATGGGGCACCAACCCATAACAGGGCACAAGACAGGGAACAACCCAGGATGGGGCACCAACCCATCACAGGGCACAAACCCATCACAGGGCACATTCACACACCATTCACTCATACCTATGGTAACTTCAGTTCATCATACCATGTTATTGGTCTGTGGGGGGAAGCCAGAGAACCCAGAGGAAACACTATGACAGCACAAGGAGAACATGCAAACTCCACACACATGGAATCCTGGCAAAGACTCAAACCCAGGCGCCAGAGGTGACAGTGCTAACCACTGCACTACTGTACCCCCTCCCCCATTGACAAGCTACAAAAGGATAAACTTTACTATACCTGAATGTATATAGTTGAAGCAGTACTTCAAGCAGCTGAATCGGTAATTGAAATATCTAAAGCAGTATAACACAAACATGTATTTTTGCTGCAGGAACAAACAGAGGTCATTCACTTCTGATCATGTAGGTACCAACATCACACAGGTATTTCAAACGGGCTGGGATGACAGACTGAGTTCATACAAAGAGCTCTCTACTGTAGTTCAAAATGAAGCATTGAAGTTGAGACAGTCTGAGAGCTATTTTAGAGCTCGTTGAGATCTCTGATGAAACTTAGAGGGAGGGTGATATGAGATTCTGTGTGTCTTTGCTGGACTAAAAATGAGAGACAGGAAAAATAAGTCATAGACTCATTTTGGTTTCACACAAATTTCATAGCTCTCTAGGAAGAATAAATGAAACCGCTTTGAGATCATAGGTGGTCCTAGACCCTCTTTCTCCTCGGCTCCCTGGCTTCCATCGTTAAGCTGGTGACAGACACACAGCTCCCTCGCTGTTATGAGGTGGCTTCCTCACTCCAGACTTGAACAGCAATGATGGCTGGTTTTCTTCTATAAATAAGCTTGGATATGCTGCAAAACCTTTTAAAATTGCTGTTATTAGACCTATTCAAAAGAAGTAAATTCTTGAACCGAGTGATTTAGGAATTTATAGGCATATCTCAAATCTTCCTTTCATTTCTAACATCCTGGAAAAAGTTGTTGTTCATTAGCTGTCTTCTTTCCTACAGATAAATACTGCTAATGAATTATATCAGTCTGGTTTTAGACCAAACCATAGGACAGAAACAGCTTTAATCAAAGTCATGAATGATCTGCTTATGACTTCTGATCATGGCTGTATATCTTTATTGGTGTTACTAGATCTAAGTGCAGCATTCAATACTGTGGCCCATAATATTATCCTGGACCGGATAGAATCAGCAGATGGCATTAAAGGGACAGATCTCTCTTGGTTTCGCTCCTACTTAACTGATCGTTATCGTTCGTCCACTTGAACAATGAATCTTCCAAGCCCACCAAAGTACCCCTTGTAAGAAAATAAAAATTAGGTAAGTAAAAAATTGTGACAAAAGTTCAGAATTTCAGTTTTATTTCATGGTATGTGCATTTTTATGTGTCAAACAACAATGAACACAGCACTGTTTGTATCAGACCAGCCAATTTTTGGTGAGTGAAAGTATAAGATGAAAAATGATCGTAAAGAAGATTAAGGTAAATAACTTTTAATATTTGATGGCATTTTCCTTGCATGCAATAACTGCATCAAACCTCTGACTCACTGACATCACCAGATTGTTTTCTTTTCTTTTGTGATGCTTTTCCAGGCTTTTACTGCAGCCTGTTTCAATTGTGTGTTTCAGGGTGTTTCTCCATTCAGTATTGCCTTTAGGAGACACAGTGCATGTTCAGTGTCATGCCCCGATTGTCCGCTCCTCTCGTGTGCCACGCCCCCTCGTTAACCTCATGTGGAATCCCAGTGTTTTACAGCTGTTTCTGATTGTTGTCATTAGTCCATTGTATTTAGTCCGCGTTTCCGTTTGTTTCCCCAGTACGGTCATTGATATGTTGACGTATTGATGTGTAGTCGTTCTGTGTTTTCGCCTTCATTCCTGTAATTAAATCTCGTGTTCCCGATCCCTGGTATCCTGCCTATTTGTCTGCGCTCCAAGCGCTCACGCGACGTAACATTCAGTTGTGTTAAGCTCTGATGATTGACATGGCCAGTCGGAATTCTTACACTTATTCCCCGATGAAGTTCTTTGTTCAGTTGGCAGTGTGTTTCTGGTCATTGTCTTGCTGTATGATAAAGTTTTTTTTTTGTTTTTTTTTTAAAAGATTAACCTGGTTTTATTTCTGAAAAGACAACAGCAAAAGGTATCTCATTAAATTCATACAAATAACTTTAATACAGACAAAATAAGTCTCACAGCAGGCTGATGCAGCCTATAGAAGCCTCCCCGGGAGAGCAAATTAACAGCGAAATATAGCTCATCATCACTTTTTCTTTCCTTTCAAAGGATCAAAAAAGGAGTGTCTGAGGGCTGCCTCCAGAGTGATCCTTTTGGATACGTCATGCTCCAGCATCTTGTGCATGAGGTCAAAAAGCTGCTCGTGCTCTGTACTCTTTGAGGACATGTATTGTTTAAGGGGCTTGCAGTGCTTCCTCACATATCTCCCAGAAGAGTTGTGCTCATCCCAGTCCAGCTGCCCATGACGAACGTATCTCCTTTTCTTGGTTTTCTGTAAGAGGGAGCTGGGTATTGGCCCAAGGACTCTTTCCATCATAGCCAAGTGCTCCTTGCTGTCGTGAGTCTGAAAGAGCATCAATCCAGGGTAATAGTCAATTAGTATGCAGCACAGACTCCAAACATCACATGCCTGGTTCCATCCAAGTTCAAGAGTGACCTCAGGTGCTCGATAATGCCTGGAGGACACCAAAAATCCAAAATCCACCACCTTCACATCAGTCTTCTTCAAGGTCCTCTCGTCCCTTTTCAATTTTGCATTGTACTCCAAGCAGTAGTCAGAATCCACAAAGAGGATATTCTCTGACTTCAGGTCAGTGCGAGTAAGCTTGTTTCGGTGTAGGAAGTGCACTGCTCTGAAGATCTGATTTGCCATATGTCTGATCTGGTCTACAGTGAAAGGCATGAAGCCATTCTCCTTCAGGAAATCATAGGTGCTCAATCCCAGGAGCTCAAACACAATGCAGATGTGGCCATGGTGATCAAACAAGTCCAGCATTCGTACACAAGCATAATGCTCATTGCGATCGAGTGAGTTCATCTGCTGAAGGACATCGATCTCAGACATGGCAGCCTCTCGATAACGGTCAACATTTTTAATGATCTTCAGTGCCACTCGTGCACCACCATTCGAATGATCAATGCAGTTCACAACTTTCCCAAAGGCTCCTTCTCCTAAAGTACTCACA